GAATCATCCAATTCAAAGTTATCTTCACTATCCGTATCTGCAAAGATCTGGTCCATAGCTTCGTCGACATTGTACCGACTGTTTTGAGGCCGTGCACCCGCCATTTTGCGCCTAACCACTCGAAAACACTTTTTTCCGATAAAAGGTTAATTATAATTCATAGAAAAAAACTATAGAGGGCGCAGAACCTCTTCCTGATTTTTAACAATATTTTTTCTACATACCCGGTAGTACCGGGTACGCGCAATTCAACAATATGTGTTTATACCCGGTATTACCGGGTACACACAGTGAAAGGGTTAATGCATACCAAATGTAAATTTTTCATAATTAAAGTTGGACCTAATTTGCATTTTAAAGGTACTCAATGGGAATAATATTCCGGAAAATATAATCTTCTATGTAATATAAACTCTATAAAATATAAAATTAAAGAAGAGATAAAAACCATATTAATAATAGGGTAAAATTTCTAAGTATACTATTACTTTTTCTGACAAGCATATTTTAATAATGCATTATTTGAATGAATTGTCTGTACATTTGATAAGAGAGAAGAAATTAATTTCTCACAGATCACAGAAAAAAAATGAAGAATAAAGAGAGAAAGCAATTTTCCTACTTGTATGAAAATGTAAGAACATTGTTTTTATACTCAAACTGGTTGAAAATTTCAAAACATACTGTAGGATGTGCTGCTACTGAATTTCAACTCTACCATAACTTTCATCCATTAACACTAAATTCATTTATTTATTTTTTCAATTACAAAATGCTTCAATTATTTTTTCTCACCAGACAAATTGTCCCGACAGTGACAAGCTCTCTTAGACTGAGAATCTAACCCCTGCCTGGCAATGTCATAAGTGGGGAAAATGAATATGCTTTACCAATATCAATAAGATGGGAAATGAACCATAAATATTGAACAATCCACAGCATGAATATGGATGAAGTAGGAGTTAAGAAATGTTTGAAATGACTAAAATAAGTAACATGGAATAGTGGTTTGTTTAGTAAGGGCTGTTCCCACTAAATATACATTGTTCTTCGAATTAGAAAGAGGGAGCTGTTGAGGCAGAATTAAGTATTATATAACAATCCTCATTAACATTGATCCTCATAGCTTGCAATGATGAACACTTTTTAAAGTTTTAATGACATGTAAACTCATCCACTGTCAGGTGGCTTGTACAAATCACTGTAAGATGGTAAGGCAAAGTTTGTCTGAACAATAATTTTTTTTATAGGTAATTTTATAGTCTTCTTCATTTGCCAATTATTAACAGCAAAATTAATTATGAAACCTTGCATGTGATGACCCTTAAAATTGGCATATACACACATATATACACACATATATACATTTATATACATATATACATATATATATATATATATATATATTGAGGCTTGCTCTAAAGTTTAGTTTTGGCCTTCCTGTTTACTTGTTTAGGCTGTTTATTCTAATCTCACCCAGCCTATTGTTTCCAATCATGCTTGCATGAAATTCTCACTTTATACCATCTAGCTTTTTCTACCCTCACTCACTC